CCCTACCAGTGCTCCCTGTGTGGGAAGAGCTTCAGTCGTTTAGGAACCCTAAAGGCACACCGGCGGATTCACACAGGGGAGAGACCCAACCAGTGCTCCCAGTGTGGGAAGAGCTTCAATCAGTTAGGAGCCCTAAAGAGACACCAGCGGATTCACACAGGGGAGAGACCCTACCAGTGCTCCCTGTGTGGGAAGAGCTTCAGTCGTTTAGGAACCCTAAAGGCACACCAGCGGATTCACACAGGGGAGAGACCCTACCAGTGCTCCCTGTGTGGGAAGAGCTTCAGTCGTTTAGGAACCCTAAAGGCACACCGGCGGATTCACACAGGGGAGAGGCCCTACCAGTGCTCCCAGTGTGTGGAGAGCTTCAGTCAGATGGGGGCCCTAAAGACACACCAGCGGATTCACACAGGAGAGAGGCCCTACCAGTGCTCCCAGTGTGGGAAGGGCTTCAGTTGTTTAGGAACCCTAAAGAGACACCAGCAGATTCACACAGGGAGAAGGCCCTTCCAGTGCTCCCAGTGTGGGAAGAGCTTCACTCAGTTAGGAAACCTAAAGATACACGAGCAGATTCACACAGGGAGAAGGCCCTTCCAGTGCTCCCAGTGTGAGAAGAGCTTCAGTCATTCAGGAGCCCTAAAGAGACACCAGCGGATTCACACAGGAGAGAGGCCCTATTAGTGCTCCCAGTGTGAGAAGAGCTTCAGTCGTTTAGGAACCCTAAAGGCACACCGGCAGATTCACACAGGGGAGAGGCCCTACCAGTGCTCCCAGTGTGGGAAGAGCTTCACTGAATTAGGATCCCTAAAGATACACCAGCGGATTCACACAGGGGAGAGGCCCTACCAGTGCTCCCAGTGTGGGAAGAGCTTCAGTTGTTTAGGAACCCTAAAGAGACACCAGCAGACTCACTGAGTTCAGTCCTTTATCACAGTAGATCATATAAGTGTGTGTTCTTGATTCCGTACAAAGTATTTTTTTGCTTTTAAGTTGTAGGCATGGATTTTAGAGTTTTGTTTGTCTCTCTGAATGTACGTGACAATGTTTTATAGTATAGAATATTTTGAAGGTAGTCTTTAGCTACAAAACACTGAATTAGACACTTGCAAAATTACATTGAATACAAATGTAACTCAAAAATGTCATTCAGTAAGCTTTTTCTGTTATCTGTTAGAAGTGATACCAGTTTATGTTGGGGTCAACAGATCCAGTCTGGGAAACCTTTACAACCAGCGGCAGCTTTCATAAGTGATTTTAACTATGCTGGACTTTTACAAGACTGAAGTGGTAAATAATGC